AATCACCTGACTACGGTCACGGAAAAACTGTTTCCATTTTTTAGCACTTAAAATTATATAAAATTTCCAGTCATGACTACATAAGCAACAGTTCTGTAAAAACGATCTTCATTTGCATCTGAGCAGCCAAGAAAATTTGACCCGGTAAATTCTCCGCAAGTTTTTTTTTTCACAGTTCCTTAAAGCTCCTTGTACCCACGTTTCCCTCCTCCGAACTTCTCGTAAACTTCTCCAACCAGAATTATATTTACTATTAAAAATTTTCAGCAACTTCAGAACCACATTTCCACACGTCCCGTTTTGAATGGCATAGCGTCCTTCTCGAAATCCCATCTTCTTTATGAGCAAGTATTTTCTTCCGCAGTAAGCATCTACGTATCTTCTAGTAGATGGCATTTCACAGATTTTGAAGATTTTTCTCAACTTTGACCATAAACACTCGCTTAGTATTTGGAACTTGCACAAATTACGCGGCTGATGTCAGGGCGTATAATCACCGGTTGTTGCACTCTAAGATCTTATGCAAACTCTATCTGCGCGCGGAGTTGCAGCAGGAGTGTCTGACTTTTGCTCATATCCGTTTTTTAGATCACTTAAAATGCGGTCTATGTTTCCCAACAGTTTTGCCGATAGGCATTAAAAGAAATATTATTGCGCTGCTTCGCTTAACTAGATGTCAATTGAGTGTTTCAAGCAGAATACAGTTTTTTTGGCAGTTGGCCAAAGTAAGATTTTTGTTGAACTGCATTGAAACCGAGTTGGGTATCGTTAGGAAGCAAAGTACTTCTATTAATTTAATCCCACTTAATCAGTGGTACAGTTTTTTCTTGTTAGTGTGAAGGACAATGGTCGTCGGAGATCCAGCTCCAGATGTGGCCGGTGGTACAGTTGAGCCCAGTTTTTCTGATAGTGAATATTCGTTTGAAGACGATATTACCGACGAAGGTTTGTTGCATCTTCAATAAACGATATCTGTTTTTAGAAACATGGCACTATGGTATTAATGTTTTGTTCAGTTTGTGTGACAGAGTTGTTACACTCTAACAAAAAAAAAGTACGTGTTTTATTTACACAGTGTATTTAAAAACGCGTTCAAAGAACTTTTCTGTTATTTAATAAAGATAATTTTTGGTATTTGATTTATCCAGTAATTAAACTTCAGTCATATTTAAGTAACTCTGTTTTGTTTTCGTTTATACAATAAATTTTTTCCAGAGTTGGTTGGTAACCTTCTTCATAAGAAACCGCAAAAAAGTATTTACGCACAGTGTTGTATAATTCTGTGTGGTATCCCTGTTGTTGGCGACGATCGGTTTAAAAAACTGAAAAGCGTATTAGGAAGAATTTTTGTTCGCATTAGCAGTGAATATAATGATCATTATCCTTTAGACGAAAACGGCCAAACTAAGGTTGGCTTTTACATTGTTTTGATTAGTTATTGGCAGCAAATTTTAATACTACATTTGGTAGCTATTGATTTCTGAGGTGTAATGCCATATTAAATGATTTTATAGTGACGGAATGTGAGAGTTAATTAACTTACCGCGGGAATTTCTCAGTGTATTATCTTTTTAGAATAGATAAATGAGAAAGCTGTTTCTTCAAAGTTTACATTAATTTGAGGAATTGCTTGACATTCTCTTTTCTTTTTGTTGAAGGGATGGTGTTTTGTTGAGTTCCCATCTCCGGAAATTGCGGAAAATGCAACCGCAATCTTGGATGGGTACGTACTTGATAGAGCTCACCAATTTTCTGCCAATCTTCTTGAAGACGTCGATAAGTTTAAAGAGCCTGATCCAAACTGGGAACCGCCGAAACCTACTCCCTACGTTCCATTTGTTAGTTTGAATGGTGTTTTTGATTTATTAATTTGGTGAGAAAGATGCTGTATTTTTTACTTTTATGCGGGTTTTTTTGAGAGCTTTTGCTAGTTTTTCATGAATAATTGATATTTAAGGGTTGTTTTTCATTCTCTCTGTATACGTGTGTATTATACATGTGTATTTATTACTTGAAATGGCTAATGTAGTGTAGTTTTTCTCAAAATCTGGTTTCAAGGTGTGAGTGAACAAGCAAGTTTACTTTCTTGGATTACAGGGTGACCTTTGGTCTTGGTTGCAAAATGAGAAATGTTATGATCAGTTTGCTGTCTTATATGACAAAGAAATAGGTGACAAGAAGACAACGGATATAGCTCCTCATGTAGGAGTTTATGAGTTTAGGAAGGGGCAAGATCCTCAGCTAGCATCTGCAAATAGCGAAAGAGTGGTAAATATTTTGAAGTAAAAAACTTTTTTAGTTGGTGATTATACAGTAAGAGTTTAACTGTTGCAGAATTGGACTGAAACCCACTTCAAATGGTCCCCGCATGGAACATTTTTGACCAGTGCTCACGTGAAAGGCATTTGCTTGTGGGCTGGAAAAGATTTTAGCCGATATAATCGTTTTCAGCACAATAACGTCATACTTGTAGACTTTTCCCCTTGTGAAACGTAGTTCCCTTTTATTTTTGTGATTTATAATTAATAATTGGTTTAAAAATGATCCAAAAGAAAACGTTATAGTCCAATAACAAAGGTTTAATTAGTTTGGACTTGATATATCAAATTTTTTTTCAGTTAAAAAAAACTTCATTAACTTTGTATACTTGTTTATTTTCTGCTTTTTGAGACTTGAAAAAGTGGAAGTCTTATTATTGAACTTTTTCTCCCAACATCTCTTTTTGGTTGTTTTATGTTAAAATGAAATTTCCTAGGCACCAGTGATACTATAGCAATTTTTTTGCCTTTTCTGTATTTTTCAGGTTTCTGGTAACATATGCCACACCAGAGAATCGTTGGGTGGAAGATATTGATTCACTTCGTATTTGGGAAGTCCAAACAGGTGAAATGCGGCGAGGTTTTTCTTTACTTCATTTGCAGAGTGATGACAACCAACTTTCTTGCTGGCCTTTTTTCCAGTAAGTTCCCTTTATTCGCTTGGTTTTGATATTTTTAATAGGGCTTTTTAAAGCTTAGTTCCAAAGTTATATTTACGTTAATGTCAGGTGGTCGTACGATGAGAAATATGTGGCTTGTTTTAAAGCGGGTGGTAATGGCATTAGTGTATATGAAACTGAAACTTTCAACTTATTAGAAAAGAAGCACGTTACTTTAGAAGGTATATGTTTGTTCCAGTGGTCTCCTACACGTCCTATACTTGCTTACTATTGTGAGGAAAGGGTATGTTTTTATTTGCTTCCTTATGTTTACACAGTTTATTTGTTTTCTAATGCGGTCTTTATTTCTCACATTGCACTTTTTGAGCTTTTGCAAGGCATTAATTGTACTCATAGGTGTGTTCTTTTAAGACTGCTGACAACGCCCCGGCAGAAATTGGGATTTTGGAATTTCCAAAAAAGAAGAAGCTTAGAGCACAGAGGATATTTTCAGTTTCAAAGGCGGATCTTTTTTGGAATAAAAACGGAGATCGACTAGCTGCTCATACTGAAAGATATCAAAAAAAGATTGTAAAATCTACGCCTCATGGAGTCCAGGATATTAAATATTCAGTAAGTTTCGTATCAATTTTGTATTCTTCTGACTAGGATGACTAGCCATTGCGCTGAGTGTTTTGCAGAAACCTAGCTCACATATCGAGATATTTGACCTTCGTAGTAAGGAGATTTCGGTGCTTTCTATGCCATTGAACGAGACATATGTTGCTTTTGGTTGGGAGCCTGCAGGTTTGGCTACATATCTTTATTTTTTTTATTTATTTATACACTATTTTTTGCATGGAAAGGATTTATCACTAAGAATTTTTATTGCACTTCTCATCAGACTTTTTTTTAACTTTTATACTGTTAAGGACCTGCTGAAATAAGTTTGGAATTAGCTAGTTTTATTTCTACGACTGTGTCAGCTGCAGACTTGTTTGTTCTCCTGGTGGACTTTATTCGTTTTGACTAAAAGGTTTTCAGGTGACAAATTTTGCGTGCTCGCAGGAACGCAACATAAAACAACACCATTAATTTATACACTGGATATGTCAAAACACGTTCCACAATTAATTTCTAAATTTGAACCTTCAGAAAAGTTTAATACCGTGTCTTGGGCTCCAGCTGGTGGTTGGCTTGTTGTTTACTCAGCAAGCTCCTCATCAGGCGCTATAATGTTTATTGATAGTAACCGAGCAGAACCCACTCGCACTAATATTGTTGAATATCCGGGTTTCAATAAGGTAAAAAAAGATTATTTATTAGTGATTGTGTTTTTTACTAGCAACGAAACAGTTTTTAGGGTAGTTGGGATCCTACAGGACGTTATTTCGTTGCGGCCTTTACAATGGGAGGTGGACGAACAAGTGCAAGTAGTGATACCGGTTATCGCATTTTTACATTTCAAGGGAAAGAATTGTTTAGGAAGAACTTAGACCGCATGGTACAGTTTAAATGGCGTCCCAGACCCCCAGTAAAACTTCCTGATGAAACCATAAAGGTATTTTTCTTGTTTGCTGGTTCATCTCATATAAATTTCACTCTTTAGTTGAATGGAATTCTTCCTTACTTCGTTTGATTCACTTACAAACGGTTACTTTTCCAGTTGATAAGGAAGAATTTAAAAGAAACTTCGGCAAGGTTTGAGGAAGAGGACAAACGCGAAAGAGGACGGGCGTCACAGGTTTTCAACTATTTTTTCCAAAAGTGTTATTTGCAGCTAAATTCATAATGCTTTAGCTTTATAGTTGTTTAAAAGTTAGGCTGATTTTTAAGGCTGGTTTCTGGTTTATGTAATTACAAGCTGCTAGATTGGTTCTAGGGCCAGTTTAGCAGTTTATAAATAGAGCTGTAAAAATCTTCGAGCATTGTTGTTTGATGATGCCTTGAAAATTATTATTGCAGGAGGTGACTGAGAAACGTAGGAAAGTTATGAAAGAATTTAATAAAATTCGTGCGGTTTACAAGGAGGCGTATGATGGTGAAGCCCAAATGCGTGCTTCTTTACGACGTAATTAGTGTTTGAATTTTCTGAAGAGCTGTTTTATTATTATTTGTTTTTGAAATTAGCTGTATTGAATTTCTGTTGAGCTCTCTGTTTTTATTTGTATCTTTATCTGTCAAGTGGCACTTTATTGTTTTAGGCAACTTAACGGAGCAGGATCAAGAATTGGATGAGGAAACGATAGCTGTTCCTTTGACTACCGAGAAGGTTAAAATTCAAGAAACGAACGCAGAGGAGGAGTAAAAGATATTTTTTGTACGGTTTTAAAGAGCAAAGCTGAGTCTAAAGGGGACTGCAGGCTTTTTGAATTCTGGACCTTTTTAAACGTTTTTTAAGCGCGTCCTTCAATATTAGCTTCTTGAGGAGAGAGTAATTTAATGTTTAAATTAACACTTTTTACACTTAAGGGAAGGAGATGAGGACTTAATTTAAAAAATCTTGGTAATAAGGTCATTGTTTTTTGTTACCAGTCTTTTAGGCCAGCTTTGTTATTGTTATTTAGCTAAAGCTAAGTAGTATGAAGTACTTCAAGGAAAAACTTTCCACTAAAACCTAGCTATTTTTGAGATCCCTTACTATGGGCGAAACGGGAGTTTTTATAGTTATTTTATTATAATATTTCCTGTTACTTCAAAAGTACTGTACTGATATGAGTTCTGTTAATCTGATTGCGGTTTTCTATCTTTGCCATTTCCGTCCCTTTTATGTGCATTTTTGGGTCTCTTATTGTTCCTTCTTGATATGTTTGAGTAGTCTGTTGCGTTTTGTTCCCGTTATTTGTTCTTGATGAAGTGAAATTTTTAGTTCAGGATTTAGTTTATTCGTTCAGAAGTTGTTATATTTATTTTCTTTTTTTTTTGGAGTTTTATGATTGGGTTTGCTTTTTAATTGCTGATTTAATTTATCCTTAAGTATGAAACGATGAGTGAATATAAGAGGTGCTTTGTTTTTTGTTTCTTGTTTCGTTTTTTTTTTTTTTTTTTT